AAAGAATGAAATGCTGAAACATTGTGATTCTCTCAAATGAAAACAAATCTATTGTACTAAAAGGCTGTTGAATTGACCAGGTTTTCGATCCGGCTGCCTCTTCCCACTTCCATTTGGTCGAGAACAAGGTTTTGTTTACGATAGCAGTGCGCATCTACTCGTCTAACTCTGGGGTGTGGAGTCCTATCAGAATAGACTGGAGTGACCTTCGCTTGCGCAGGGCCAGCGCGTATGCTAATGGCATGGTGTATGTGGTCTTGTATGGGGGAATGAATCAGATACTTGTGATGGATGTGGAAGGCAACACAAGGAAGACCATCCATGTTCCCTTACAGGAGGGCGATGAGTTCAGGCTGTGTTATGATTATGTTGGCCAATCCCAAGGGCGTTTGCATTTGATTTACCATGCTGACCTTGACCTGGATTATGACCACACACACACACACAGAAAATCAGAATTATGAACTGGTCATAATATGGGTTCTTGAGGATTATGATACAGAAGAATGGGTCCTGAAGGACACTGTAATCTCTTTGGATCGATAAGTCCCGTAACGACCAATGACTTCGAAATGGTTGCAATTCATCCAAATCACAATTTGGTATTTCTTATTCAGCACTATAAAGATGAGCTCATATCATATAACATGGATAGCAAGGAAGTGTGCCGTCTCTGCACTCTTGATCCTGGCTGTGTGCCCATCTTTCCATATGTGCCCTACTTCTTAGAGTTGTCAGCGCTTGAAAATAAGCACTGAATTTATTGCTTTGTGGGCTACTTATTGGGACGTTCAGCCAAACTCAGATCTTCCTGTTATGGTGTACCGCAGCTTGGGTAAATTTAGTAGGATTGGGTGATACCTTTAACTGATGCTTGTGCTTCGATTGGTTACTGCGTAGCGTGTCCGTGCGTTGCTACGGGACAACTAAATCTTTTGTACTAAAAACACACGGATCACACGATAAGATATCAATACTGTTAAATTAAATATCGACGTCAAAGTGACATTTAATTCAAAAAGCAAAGTTCATGAAATTAACACAGTCACGGAGAGTGCGACGTCGTAGGCTCACAAACTCTACTGTATAGACTTTTTCGTGATACGACTAAGATAATATTTTATATCGGCATAAAGAATTCTACGATATCCATTTCTTTCCTACGCCAATAAATCCATGAATAAGTTCCACTGCATCTTCATATAATCATGTACACACAGGTTCGAGTATATATGTAAATAGGTTCGTGCCCGTGCGTTGCTACGGGATAGTTAAACTTTTATACTAAAAACACATGGATCGCACGATAAGATAACAATACTGTAAAAGTATATGACCGACGTTAAAGTGATATTTAATTCAAAAAGCTAAGTTCGTGAAATTTACACAGTCACAGAGAGCATGACGTCGCAGAATCACAAACTCTACTGTGTAGATCTTTCTGTGATGCGGCTAAGATCATTTTTTATACCGGCAGGAAGAGATTTCCGATATCCATTTCTTTTGTGCGTCAACAAATCCACGAATAAGTTCCACCACATCTCCATACCATCCTGTACACGGCGCTGGCAAGCGAATTAGCCACAACTTATGTAATTAGTTTTATAATTAGCTCATGTTTAGTCTTCCTAATTAATATCTAAAAATTCAATGTGACAGGAACTAAAGTTTAGTCCTGGGATCTAAACACCCCCTAACTCTCGACTCCTGCTGGCTGCTCACTTGCACCACCATACCTATGTGTCTGCACGTATATACTTTAATGCCAGAACATCTAAGATGGTCTTTAAGGTTGCCATTTGTGTATGCTGTAGGATTGAGATGCTTTGCACTGATCCATGAGGGTGTCCATGAGAGTCGAAATTTTTGATGCCATTATGATGTCTAAGCTTACCAATCAGACAGAGACGAATTTGATTGTTAAAATATTTTCAACACTGCTTTCATATACTTCCTCTGTCCTAAAATAGAATTCATTCTCGTTTCCCGAGAAGTCAACTTTTTTTAACTTCGACCAATTATAATACAGGTATTTTTTACATGCATGTGGCCTCAGGAGTCGACCAATTGATTGTTAAATGTTGCACGTATTTTTTACAAATCTAGTCAAAGTTGAGAAAGTTTGATCTGCACACATCCCATAACGACTTATATTTTTGGGCAGAGGAAGTATATGCTAATGGGAGTAGTCAACTGAAAGTCGTGATGAACACAACAATACTTTCATATTATATGCTAATTAGAGCACGAAGAAACGCAGGGGAATGGACCTATATACGAATGGTGGGAATATTCGTTTAGAAAATTACAGAAGGTTCACCAGTCTCACCATGTATAACCTGCACATCTTTTATTTGGCACCACTGATGTTCTCAAGGAACAACCACTTTTTTAATTTTAGGTCTGTATGCTGGAAACACTAAAATTAAGGGCCAACCTTATTGAGTCGTCTTGCTTGATCTTTGCCAATTATTTCCTTCCATATATGATTATTGTTTCCTTCCATGTATGTGGCCTCAGGTGATCGATTTGTTTCCTTCAAAGCAGGCGGGGATCGCAGGGATGACAGTTTCTTTTTCTATCGCGCGGGGTATCGCATGGCCGGAAGGGAGGAGTCTTGCTTGATCTTTGCCAATTGTTTCCTTCCATGCATAATTATTGTTTCCTTTCATGCATGTGGCCACAGGTGATCGATTTGTTTTCTTCAAAGCAGGCGGGGATCGTAGGGATGGCAGCTTCTTTTTCTATCGCGCGGCGTATCGCATGGCCAGAAGGGAGGAGCGACCCAAAAAAAGTACGAATGGTGGGAATATTCGTTTAGGAAATTGTAGAAGGTTCACCAGTCTCACCATGTATAACATGCACATCTTTTATTTGGCACCACTGATGTTTTAAAGGAGCAGCAACTTTTTAATTTCAGTTCTACATGCTGGAAACACTGAAATAAGGGAACATATCTAGTACAAACCAACCTCTCCGTGCAAACCCTGCAAACCAACTGCGGGAGAGAGATGGGAGGGGGGATTTGCAAAAGTGTAATTACACCCGCTCCTAATCACACTTTTACAAAATCCCCCTCCCACCTCTCCCCCGCAGTTGGTATGCACGGTTTGCACGGAGAGGTTGGTTTGCACTAGATATGTTGCCCTGAAATTAAGGGCCAACCTCATTGAGTCGTCTTGCTTGATTTTTGTCAATTGTTTCCTTCCCTGCATGATTATTGTTTCCTTCCATGCATGTGGCCTCAAATGATCGATTTGTTTCCTTCAAAGCAGACGGGGATCGTGGGGATGACAATTTCTTTTTCTATCGCGCGGAGTATTGTATGGCCAGAATGGAGTCTTGCTTGATCTTTGCCAATTGTTTTCTTCCATGTATGATTATTGTTTCCTTCTATGCATGTGACCTTAGGTGATCGATTTGTTTCCTTCAAAGCAGGCGGGGATCGCAGGGATGACAGTTTCTTTTTCTATCGTGTGGGATATCGCATGACTGGAAGGGAGAAGCGACAAAAAAAAAGTCGCTCCAAAAATAGTCTTATTTTTAGTCTTTTTAGTTGTAGGAGAGGAGATGTATGTGGTCCAGTTAATACTGCAACCTGGTCAGACATTTCCCCTCTACTAAGCACTTCAGCCTCGCGCGTGCCTACGTCACCCGGAATTCATACGTGTAGCAACGTCGCCCCGGATTCGTCTTCTGTGGACAGCAGCGCTCCACGTCACCCTCGGATGGGTGGCGCAGCCGTAGCCGCATGTTGTTGTTTCCTACGGCCTCGGTAGGACTGAAAAATACTGTTCAGCCTAATTGTTGTGAGAGAAAAATACTGTTCTGTCTGAACGTGAATAATATTTCTGTGAGTGAGCTGGCCAGCCGGGCTCAGCCCAGCCAGCCAGCCGAACGCCCTTCTAGCTTCTTCTTCCTGGTCAACGCCGCTTCCTTAGCCCTTTGCCCCTTCTGTCTCTTGCCCAGCCCCGGTCAGACAAGGTGCTAGGGTTTAGAATTTGAGGCCTTTACTCGTGTATCATTATAAAAGTTAGTAATTATCTATAAGTCATTAAAAAAGTTAAGTTTTTATAGGTGCCACTGCTCTGAACTCTTTTGCCCTCCACGTCACTTCTGTCAGATTTAGTTCTAACGGTGTCAAACCACGGGGGTGAAAAGTCGAAAATATCCTTAGGTCTAAATATGCAATTAATTTTTTTAGCATCTTAATGATCTCAAATAAAAAAAAACTCAAAACTAGAAAGTTGTAGATCTCGTCGAGATCTACAATATTTTTATAAAAATTATCTTCATTGGGAAAATTGTGTTCTCGCCCCTTACACAGATGTGTAATTGTGATTTTGCTATCGTTTTTCTAACTTTGTGATTTTGCCCTTAACGGTTCACAAGTCGACGTGATTTTGCCCCTGGTCAACGCGAATTTGCCCCTGTTTTTACCGTTGACCAGGGGCAAAATCGCGTTGACTTGTGAACAGTTAAGGGCAAAATCACAAAGTTAGAAAAACGAGGACAAAATCACAATTGCACGTCAAAGTAGGAGCAAGAACACAAGAACCTCTTTTTTATTTGAGGTTATTAAGATGCCAAAAAAAATAATTACATATTCAGACCTGAGGGTATTTTGGATTTTTCACAACCGCGGTTTGACACCATTAGAGTCAAAGCTGACGAAAGTGCGTGGAGGCCAAAGAGTTAACTCGACTTTTTTTAATGACACATAGATAATTATCAACTTTTTATAATGGCACACAGTTAAAAGCTTCTTAGAATTTCCCCAATTCCTCTGTCGATTTCGCTTCCTCGGCACCGTCCAGCGCCGCCACCGTCGGCCCCAGCCATCTCCGTCGTCGGTACGCTTCCCTGCTGGCTGGTACGTTCCGCTTGCCTCCCCGATGCTGCATTCTCTCTCTCTCTCTCTCTCTCTCTCTCTCTCGTAAGTGCATCTTCATTCAAATTCCCCGTCTCGATCTGCCGGTTCGCAGATTGCTCGCGGTGACATGGACTGCTCCAAGAGGAGCGTGGGCGCGGTGGCCGGCCTCCCTGACGACACCCTGGTGGAGATCCTCTCCCGCGTTCCGTTTAAGTCACTCTGCAGATGCAAGTGCGTCTCCAAGGCCTGGTGCGACCTCATCACTGACCCCCTCAACCGCAAGAAGCTACCTCAGACCCTAGAAGGGTTCTTCTTAGTTGTTGACGGCTGCGTCGACGACTCCGACAGTGACGATGGAGATGGCGAAGACATCGGCAGTGATGGAGGCAGCGACAACTCTGACAGTGATGATGGAGATGGCGAAGACAGTGGTAGTGATGCAGGCGGCAAAAACTCCGACATTGATAATGGAGATGGTGAAGTCAGCGGCAGTGATGGAGGCGGCGACGATAGCCACAGTGCCAATACAGATGGTGAAGACAAGAGCGGTGACGATGGAGGTGGCGACGACAATGACAGTGATGATGGAGATGGTGAAGACAGCAGTAGTGATGGAGGCGACAATGACAACTTGCAACACCAAGTCTGTGTGCATTTCATCGACATGTTAGGGAGACCCCCGCGTCCTGTGGACCATTGCTTCCCGTTCCTGACTGAGCTGCCGGGCATTGTGAACATCTGTGTCTTGGATGACTGCAATGGCCTCCTCCTCTTTGGCTGTATCCAGGGATCAGGCGAATCACTTAGCAAGAGCTATATCGTGTCCAACCCTGCGACTGAGCAATGGGTCGTTGTGCCTGACCCTGACACGAAATGGCTGTCGTTCGCCTATTTGGTTTTTGATTCGGCTGCCTCTTCCCACTTCCATTTGGTCCAGAGCAGGGTGGACATGATACCAGTGCACATCTACTCGTCTAAATCTGGGGTGTGGAGTCCTGTCAGAAGTGACTGGAGTGACCTTCGCATAGCACCTGGCTTAGGCATCGCATATGTTAATGGCGTGCTGTATGCGGTCTTGTCTGTGGGGGATCAGATAGCTGTGATGGACGTGGAAGGCAACACAAGGAAGATCATCCCTGTGCCCTTTCAGGAGGGCGATGAGTTCCGGCCGTGTTCTGATTATGTTGGCCAGTCCCAAGGTCGTTTGCATTTGATTTACCATGCTGACCTGGGTCATGATGAAATCTCCCCAGAACAGCAGAGTAATGAATTGTTCATATGGGTTCTTGAGGACTATGATACAGAAGAATGGGTCCTGAAGGACACTGTAAGCTTTTTGAAGCTGTTTGGAAAGATAACTGGCCAAACGATCGATGGCTTCGAAGTGGTTGCAATTCATCCAGATCACAATTTGGTATTTCTTATTCAGCACTTTAACCAGGAGCTGATATCATATAACATGGACAGCAAGGAAGTGTGTCATCTCTGCACTCTTGGAACTGGCTTTCAGTTTATCGCTCCATATGTTCCTTACTTCAAAGAGTTGTCAGCACTTGAAAATAAGCACTGAAAATTGTTGCTTGTGGGCTACTTATTAGGACGTTCATCCGAAATCAGAGTTTCCAATTATATTGTACCTGGCAAATTGAGTAAATGTAGTAGGATTCGGTGAAACCTTTTACTGGTGCTCCAATTGGTTATGTTTGTGGTCCAATTAATACTGCAACCTGTTTAGACTTATATGTAAGATAGCTTTACACCTAGTTGTCTCAATGCTTTGTGCTTCCAAAATGGCCTGTTTGGCTGCTCTTAAAAGCCAGCTTATAAGCCCTGGTACAATATTTTTCTCTCCCAAAAAATCAGTCATACAAATCAGCACAAACGGCTTTACTAGTGGGTGATCACTATTTGGTGTTTTTCTTTTATTTTTTCCTTAGCCCAGTACATGTTCGTTTGTACTGAATCTTTCAAGGTATTGAAAGCAACACATGGTAACAGAAAAATAAAAACGAAAGCTCTGCCACATTAACCTCAAAAAAAAAAAAGTCTAGTGATGAAATACATGACTGAGCATAGCTTTTCTATATATGCTGCTTGATTGTGCCTGTGATATCAGAGCTTGCTTCGCTATAGGCCTGTTGTGTATTTCTGCAGCTAATAGTTTGTCTGGTACTTTGCAGCTACTTAGTTTAACTGTACAAGTTAGCTTTGTGTGAATTATGATACTTGAGATATTACATGGCGCTTCTCAACTGAAACTCAAATGCCAAAAGAACTCGTATATGGTTTATTGTGAAAGTTCTGAGCTGTGGATGTTCTCCTTGTGAAAAAGTTGTATCAGGAAATAGTGCCAAAGGTCTACAGGTTAGCTAGGTGATGAGGTGAAGTGCCAAAGTTCAGGAAGCAATTACAGGAAAGGGCCCTCAGGCATTTTCATGTGAATTTGTGATGAAATCAGGGGACTGAATATCGAGTCCATTATGTGCGAGATTCAGAGGCGCTCGGAAGGTGAGAGAAACGCCGGGACGGGCGTGTTGCGTGTTAATTGATCGAGAGGACTGAAAGAGCCCCAGCCGTGGCTTACATAGGAGGTGTAGCACCTAGATGAATGGCCAGGAGATAATTGAGGAGATAAAATAGCAACTACCTATCTCTTTCCTTTACAAGTGCTAACTACCATATCTCCTGGCCTACTCAATCTTTGGTGTACACGGTTCACATTACAATCATGCCACGATACATATATATTTGGTATTCTATCACTCCCCCTCAATTGAAACTTCCTAAGTTGAGATTGTTCTTGAACATCTCCAAGTTCCGCACTGCTAGTGGTTTGGTGAAGCCATCTGCAATTTGATCCCTTGTAGAGATATATTCAATATCAAGTAGTCTTCTTGCTACTCGTTCACGAACAAAATGATAATCTACTTCTATGTGTTTTGTTCTAGCATGAAAGACAGGATTTGCCGAAAGGTACTTGGCTCCAATATTGTCACACCACAATTTTGCCTTCTTTGGTGCCTGAATACCCAGCTCATATAGTAACGTTTGTATCCACATTACCTCAGCGGTGGCATTAGCAACTGCTTTGTATTCAGCTTCTGTGCTTGATCGTGATACTGTAGACTGCTTCCTAGCACTCCAAGAAATAAGATTAGATCCCAGAAATACGGCAAACCCTCCAGTTGATCGCCTGTCATCTTGATCTCCTGCCCAATCTGCATTTGAGAATGCACTTACAAGAAGAGAGGGTGACTTACAAATTTTGAGTCCAATCTCCATAGTATGTTTGAGATACCGTAGTATTCTTTTTACTGTAGCCCAGTGAACAGTAGTAGGTGCATGCAAATATTGGCAAACCTTATTTACAGCAAAAGAAATATCCGGCCGAGTCAAGGTCAAATACTGCAAACCTCCTACAATACTTCTGTATGCCGTAGCATCTTGGGGACCAAGGGGATCACCTTCATGAGCAGATAATTTCTCCGAGGTGGACAATGGTGAGCTAACCGGTTTGCACTCCATCATATTGGTACGTTGTAACACATCTTTAGCATATTTCCCTTGTGTTAGCAGAATCCCATTATTTATCTTCTTTACCTCTATACCAAGAAAGAAGTGGAGATCCCCTAGATCCTTGAGTGCAAATTCCTTCCTCAAATCTTGTAACAGACACGCAGTGGCTTCCTGAGTGGAACTAGTAACAATTATGTCATCAACATAAATAAGAATATATATAATGACAGTTCCTTTATTGTAATAGAACAGAGATGTATCAGCTTTTGATGCTTTAAAGCCCAGCTGACACAACTTATTACTCAGCCGTGAATACCATGCTCTTGGTGCTTGTTTAAGCCCATATAAGGCCTTGTCAAGTTTGCAGATATACCCATTCTTTGACTTGTCCTCATAACCAGGTGGTTGTTTCATATACACATCTTCTTCTAGATACCCATGAAGAAAAGCATTTTGTACATCGAGCTGACGTAGGCTCCACCCTCTGGAGACAGCATCAGACAAAATAGTTCTGATAGTAGCTGGTTTCACAACTGGGCTGAAAGTATCCTCATAATCAATACCATAGCGTTGTCTAAATCCCTTTGCTACTAGCCTGGCTTTGTATCTATCCAAACTCCCATCAGATTTAAGTTTCACTTTATATACCCATTTACAGTCAATGACATTAATACCTTTCTTTGGTGGAACTAAGTGCCAAGTGTTATTATTAATCAAAGCATCATATTCTGCATCCATGGCTAGCTTCCAATCTCTACTGTTCAGTGCTTCATCAAGGGACTGTGGTTCACCAGATGCGGTGAAACATCCATACCTGACCGTACCGTCTGTGTAAACTTTCGGCTTGCGAATACCATCACAAAGTCGAGTTCGTGGTCGCGGTGGAGTCTCTGTTGCAACCGTAGAAGGTCCAGCCGCAGGGGGTCCAGCTTCTGGTGCCGGCACAGGGGTTCCATCCGCAGCAGCAGAGTTGTTGATGTCGGCATCTGTGCCCCCCGTGCCTGCGGTAGGATGGGACGTCGGTGCCGGCCCAGGCAAAGTGGCAGGAGGCACCACGTCATCGGTAGGACGTGTGACCCGCTTCGGTTAGCGCCACGAGGGGCGTCGGCGTGCGGTGCGCGTAGCGACTGCATCGGGGGACGGCGGTTGAAACTGCGAGGGCGATCTTGATCGGCATCGGCGAGATCGGCATGATGGGAAGCGAATCGCTTGAGTTCCGTGTTGGGAGGCAAAGAGCTCCCCTGTTATCACACGCTGCATGTGCACCATCATTAGTGGGGTTAGTGGAATCAAATACGTGATCAACTAGCTGTTCCGTTTCAAGGCAGGTACAAGGCGGGTGGGAGGAGTGCAATTTTACGCGCGGAGGCGGGCACTGCGTTGGAGTGAAGAGTAGAGAAGGAAAAACTTCCTCGTCAAAGATTACATCTCTAGAAATATATACCGGGTGGATTGAATATCAAGGCACTTATAGCCTTTGTGAAGGTTGCTATAACCCAAAAAGGCACACTGCTCAGAACGAAGTTCAAGTTTATGGCGATTGTAGGGTCGGAGATTGGGCCAACATGCGCAACCAAAGGTGCGAAGGGAAAAATACTCCGGTTTTTGTTTGAGTAAACGCTCAAAAGGTGTTTGATTATCAATGACTTTGCTAGGCAAACGATTGATAAGAAATGTGGCAGCCATAAAGGCCTCATCCCAAAATTTTAGGGGCATTGAAGCATGAGCTAGGAGGGATAACCCAACCTCAACTATGTGACGATGCTTACGTTCAATGACCCCATTTTGTTGATGAGCATGGGGACATGATACATGATGAATGATGCCAACTTGGGAGAAGAAACTATTTAATTTTGATATTCCCGCCCCAATCGGTTTGCATAGCAAGAATTTTTCGATCAAATTGTCGCTCAACCATTTTTTGAAATTCATGAAACTTTTGGAAAACTTCAGATTTACACTTGAGAAAGTAAATCCACGTAAAACGACTGAAGTCATCAACAAAGCTAACATAGTAGCGTTTTCTGCTCACAGATTCAACTGCAGGACCCCAAACATCGGAATGAACAAGTTCCAAAGGAAAACTAGTTGAGCTAACAGATCTTTTATAAGGTAGCTGATGACTCTTTGCTTGCTGACAAGCATCACAAACTGATTTCTTATTGACACGGAGGAACAAGAAAGATTATTCTTGTCTATGACCTTGGTAACAATAGGAAGCGAAGGATGGCCTAGGCGATTATGCCATCTAGACACGGTTGGCTTGTCAACTGCATTTGCCTGCTTGACTGAAGAATTGACAGGAAGGGGATACAATCCACGACGACATGGCCCCTTAAGAATCGTGTTCCTCGTAGCCTGATCCTTGATAAGAAAAAAATCAGGATGAAACTCAATAAAGGCAGAATTATCTTTGGCAAGACGATGAACGGAGACTAGATTCTTTGCAGCTTTAGGAACATGAAGGACATTGTTTAGATGCAAACTACGGGATTGAGTTGGAACAGTAGTATGACCAACGTATTTAATTTCCATACCTGAACCAGATGCAGTGTGAATCTGGTCATTTCCGTGGTACTTCTCCCTCATCGTCAGCTTGTTTAGATCACTTGTAACGTGATCCGTTGCTCCCGTGTCGGTGTACC